TGGCCGACTAGGAGTCGGAGTTTCTGACACTGACTGGCATAGACCCTGACCAATCAGAACCAAATGTGGATGCTATGGGGAGCCAATGGCTGCCTAGGAGGTGGGGCTTCTGATGCTGACTGGCATAGGAACCAACCAATCAGAACCAAATCTGGGTGCTGTGGGGAGCCAGTGGCTGTCTAGTAGGTGGAGCTGTTGATACTGGCATAGGAACCAACAATTCAGAACCAAATTGGTCAGCAGAGGAGAGCAGTTGGGGATGAGATGATGCTGGCAGGGGAGGGCATTTAGGGGCAACCAGGCCAGTAGGGAAGGGCAGTTAGGGGTTATCAGGCTGGCAGGCAGAGGCAGTTAGGAGCAAGCAGGCAGGGGAGTAGTTACGAGCCAGTAGTCCCAGTTTGTGAGAGAGAGTGTTTAGGCCCGATTCCTGGGATCGGGCCTAAAATGGCAGTTGGACATCCTGCAGGGGGTCCCCATTGGAGAGGATGCAGACTGAGTTGAGGGAAACACCCCCCCCCCATGCATGAATTTTGTGCACCGGGCCTCTAGTTTTTTATAAAAACTCTCAGCAAAGTGGGAATATAAGGAGCATATCTTAACAGGATAAAGGTCATATATGGCAAAGATACTCAATGGGCAAAAAACTAAAACCGTTTCCCCTAAGAACAGAAACAAGATAGCGATGTTTGTTTTCCACAACTCTTGAATTCAACACTAGAGGCTCTCTGCATGAAATTTTTGCACTGGGGGAGGGTCCCTCACCCCATCCTGCACCCTCTCGCAGTCCTGGAGCCCTCAGGGGCAGTCCGATATACTTAGCACTGCCGCAGAGGCAGGAGATTCTCCCGCCGCCACCACTGTGCTTGCCAGCTATGAGCCTGGCTTCTGACTGAACAGTGCTCCCCCTGTAGGAGCACACTGAACACCAGGGGCAGCCCCTGCATTGAGCATTTGCCCCCGGGTGGTCAATTCACGTCATAGTAACTGGCTTTTCTGCTGTTCAGTCTATTTTCATATTAATCTTTTATGCCTGCAAGATCAGGCCAAAACTGGTTCTCCAACATCCCCCAAAGGGTCTCAGATTGTGAGAAGGTGCAGGCCTGGCCAAGGGACCCCACCAGTGCACAATTGGGGCTGAGGAGGGATGCAGAAGGTTCTCTAATTGTGGAGGTACCACAGCAGGGCTCCAGGACATGGCCGGCCCATCTTACTCAGTCCCAGTCGGCTGGACCCCAGCAGCAAGCTAACCTACCAATTGGAGCATCTGCCCCCTGGTGGTCAGTGCATGTCATATCTAGTGATTGAGTAGCCTTAGCCTTTCATTAGCATATTACACTTTGATTGGTTGAACAGCTGACCAGTCAACCAGATAGCATATTAGGCTTTTATTATATAGAATAGATAGTACTGGAAGCCCCAGATGTAGCAGTAATCAGACAAAAAGAAAACAAAAGGCATCCAAATTGGAAAGAAGAAAAACTCATTATTTGCAGAAGACATGATATTGTGCATAGAAAACCCTAAAAACACCAACAAAAATCTACTAGATTTAATAAATTGATTTGGCAATGTAGCAGGATAAAAAAAAAAAAAAAAAAAAAAAAAAAAAAAAAAAAAAACACCAAACTCTGTCTTTTTATTCATCAACTAGAGGCCTGGTGCACGAATTTGTGCACAGGTGGACTCCAGCCAGCTCACCTCAATGAGGGCCAATTGGGGCCAAAATGGCAGGGGGAAGGATCTGCAGGAGATTGGGGGGGTGAGGGGGAGGGCAATTGGAGCACCAATTGAGCCGGTTGGCTGCTGCAAGGCACGTCCTACCAACTGGTCATTCTGTCCTTATGGTAGCTTGGGTTTTATATACAGATATACTAGAGGCCTGGTGCATGAAATTTGTGCACTGGGGGGGCAGGGGTGGGTCCCTCAGCCCAGCCTGCACCCTCTCCAATCTGGGTCTCCTTGAGGTATGTCCGACTGCCCATGTAGGTGGGATTGGGCCTAAACAGGCAGTCAGACATCACTCTCACAATCTGGTACTGCTGGCTCCCAACTGCTTGCCTGCCTGATTGCCCATAACCACTGCTGCTTGCCAGCCTGATCACCCCTTAACCATTCCCCTGCCAGCCTGATCGATGCCTAACTGCTCCCCTGCAAACCCAATTGCCCCCAACTGCCCTCTCCTACCAGCCTGGTTGCCTCTAACTGCCCTCCCCTGCCGGCCAGATGCCCCCAAGTGCTCTCCCCTGCTGGCCTGGTCTCCCCAACTGTTCCCCCCCCCTCCTGGCTTGGTCACCCCTTACTGTCCCCCCTACAGGCATGGTCACCCCCAACTGCTCTCCTCTGCTGGCCTGGTTAGCCCTAACTGCCCCTCCTGCCGACCTGGTTTCCCCTATCTGCACCCTCACTCGGCCCTGACAGCCTGGTCGCTCCCAACTGCCCCCCTGCTGGCCTGGTTGCCCCCAACTGCCTCTCCCCCTATTGGCCTGGTCGATTCACACAACCTGCTGTTCAGTCATTTGGTCGTCCCTCAGTTACTCCCCTAACGGCCTTGTCGCCACACATAGCCTGCTGTTTGGTTGTCTGTCTGGTTGTTTTGGTTGTGACAGCCCCTGGCTTTTTATATATTAGGATAGAGAATGAATTCTCAGAAAACAAAACGGGGAAAAAAATCCCATTTATCACTGCAATAAAAAAAGAAAGATACTTAGGAATAAATTTAACCACAGAGGTAAAAGATTTGTACTTAGAAAACTATAGGACACTAAAAAAAGAGATAGAAGATATAAACAAGTGGAAGAATATTCTGTGTTCTAGGATTGGTAGAATCAACATCATTAAAATGTCCATACTGCCCAAGGCAGTTTACATATTCAATGCAATCCCTACTAAAATAACAACAGCATATTTTACAGATCTATAACAAATACTCCAAAAATGTATATGGAACAAAAAAAGACTCCAAATAGCTGCAGCAATCTTAAGAAAGAAGAAAAAAATTGGAGGAATCACAATACCAGATATCAAGTTATACTACAAAAATCTCCATAACCAAAACAGCCTGATACTGGCACAAGAACATGCATGTAGATCAATGGAACAAAACAGAGAACCCCAGAAATCAGCCTGAACCATTACGCTCAATTAATATTTGACAAACGGAGTCAAGACAGTCTTTTTTAATAAATGGTGTTGGGAAAATTGGACAGAAACATGCAAAAAAAAAAATGAAGCTAAACCATCAATTTACACCATACACAGGAATAAACTCAAAATGAATAAAAGACCTAAATGTAAGTCAGGAAACGATAAATATCCTAGAAGAAACCATAGGCAGCAAAATCTCAGACACCTCTCTTGGCAATCTGTTGACAGATACATCTCCTAGGGCAAAGAAAACTGAGAAAATAAATAAATGGGAGTACATCAAAATAAAAAGCTTTTGCACAGCAAAAGAAACCATCAACAAAATGAAAAGGGAGCCCACTGTATGGGAGAATATATTTGGCAATGATACATCTGATAAAGGTTAATATCCAAACTATACAAAGGAGTCATACAACTTAACAAAAGGAAGACAAAACAATCCAATTAAAAAATGAGCAAAGGACCTAAATAGAAACTTCTCCAACGAGGACACACATGGGCCAAGAGACATGAAAAAAAAATGCTCAAAGTCACTAATTATCTGAGAGATAATAATTAAAACAACAATGAGGTATATCACCTGTCACCTGTCACCTGTCAGAATGTCTGCTATCAATAAATGACAAGTGCTGGCGAGGAAACCCTAGTACACTGCTGGTGGTAATACTGATTGGTGCAGCCTTTATGGAAAACAGTATGGAATTTCCTCAAAAAATTAAATACAGAACTTCCATTTGACCCAGTTATCCCACTTCTTGGAATGTAGCCTAAGAAACCTGAAAGAATGTTTGCATTCCTGTGTTCGGAGGAGCACAATTTACAATAGCTAATATCTGGAAACAGCCCAAGTGCCTATGAGTAGATAAGTGGATGAAAAAGCTCTGGTACATTTCTACAATGGAATACCATGTAGCAGTAAAAAAAGGAATCTCTTACCCTTTGAGAGAGGATGGAGGGACCTGGAGAGTATCACATTAAGTGAAGTAAGTCAGGCAGAGAAAGACAAGTATCACATGATCTCACTCATATGTGGAATCTAAGTAACAAAATAAGCTGATGAACGGAGTGGATCCAGAGGCAAGGAAGCATGGAACAGTATACAGAATTTCGGAGGGAAAGTGGGAGAGAGTGTGTAGATGGGAGGTAATCAATCAAAGATCTTGTATGCATATATGCATAACCCATGGACGCAGGCAGTGGGGTAGTGAGGGCCTGGGGCAGGCACCAGGAGTGGACTAAAGAGGTTGATTGAGGGGGGAGGGAGGAGGAGACATATGTAATATTTTCAATAATAAAGTTTTTTAATTAAAATAAAATAAAAACAATGATTTGTGGGTTGCTATGCTTCAAGCACTAGAAGAAGCCATTAGGACTCCTGACAAGTGAGTACTGTTAGTCTTGGATAACACTGGCATGTCACAGCATCCCTTACAACAATGCTTGTTACTTTCTTAATTGCTTTTTCTTCAGACTGTTAGTGTAAGTTCTAAATGTCCAGATGGTTGAAGCAGCTGTGAGTGTGTGTGTGTGTGTGTGTGTGAGTGTGTTTTAGGGGCTGGTTCCTCAGGAGAAATGAAGTTGATTAGTGCTTTGCTGCATTTTGTAGAACTAAAGGACTAATCCTAATCCAGAAAATGAACTTTACATATCCCCTTATCTCTTCCTATTATGCTTTAGAAAAGTATTTATAAATTATCCCAAGCGAATCTGCCACTTCTGCCAGAATTTGTCCTGCTTCTTCTCCTAGTGGTCTTCACAACACAGCCTAGGAAGAAGCACTGCTGCTTTCCCACCTGCAAAGGCGGTCTCACTATCCTGTCTTTCCTTTTCTTCCTTTGACTGTTTCTGCTTCACAGTCCCATTTGATGAGGATGGCCTGGAGGAAGATGTGGATTCCGAGCCGGCAGAAATAGAAGGGGAGGCAGCAGAGAATGGGGACACGGGTGACACTGGTGCTGAGCTGGATGATGGTATGGGGGACCCCAGAGCCTCCCCTTTCCACCATAGTGAACACCCTGTTCCTCACTTCAGGACACACCACAGTGCTTTGAACTCAGGAAAGATAAAAACAATACACATTAATCAAAAGCAGGGAGCTCAGGGGAGGCAGCAGATAGATCTCCTGGTTTGTTCCATTTTTAGTCACTAACTTGAATATTTCACTCTCCCATAAGCCAACATTCAACATCGCCTGCATTCATTAAGTTGTGGTTGAGAAACTGAGCAGATTTTGGGCTTTATACAGAGACTTTAATCCAGTAAATGCCCTCTGAAAGCTAGATATAAGGAGATAGTATTTTAAGAATTATAGCCTGGTTGGTTGGGAAACAAGGGCAAAGAATTAGGCTGGAGAAAATGAGATGAACAGTCCTGGTAAGATAGTTAAGGGAGCACTGCCTCAGCTGTGGAGGTAGAGTGGCAGGGCTGGGCAGTGCTAACAGGAGAGAATTGCAAGTAGGTGGTGGGCCCAGCAAGCAAGGCCTGCCCTCCACAAGCATGCTCCCGGTTCTGCTTTCTGTCATGGCCCATCATGTGTCATCTGGCTATATTTCAGAAGATAGTGGAGTACTATGTTACAGAGGATGTACTTTTGGCTGAGTATAAGAAACTGGGTGTGGACCGGCAAGCAGGGCCCCACTGGGGAACAGAGTCTGGTCCAGGCTACAGTCATCATGCTGTTCTCCAAGGAAGGCAGGAGACTGGAAGGGGCAAGCCTCACTCAAGTTCCCAATTCTCCTTTTCCTCTGCCAGATCAGCACTGGTCTGACGACATCCCATCAGATGCTGAAATAGAGTTTTGCAGGCAGCACCAAGAGGCGGTGGAAGCAGAGTTGGAGCTGAACATCTCAGAAAACCAGGACGAACGACCCCCTGCCACTCTACAGCATAACAAGAGAGGTAAGTCTGTCACAGGATGAGCTACTCCCAGAATTCCTACTGAGAGCCACAGGCACAGGTCATGAAGCAGAGCGGGCATGAATCATACCAGCCTCAGATAATGGCCTCTGCCCCTATGCATGGGCCCTGCATGTGCCTTTACAAACAGCCCCTTTCTGTGTGTTATTTGGAGCCATGAAAGGGTAGCAGGTACAGCTCAAATCTTTTTGTCTCAGGTCATACACATGACACAAGCAGAGGCTGCATACGGGACGCCCTGAGGAAGCACATTCCCTTTTTTCTTCTTTCCATCTCTGCAGGTGGCCAACCAATGGTCCAACCCCACTGCAGAGCTGGCTAGAAAAGGGAATGGAAGCTTTTCCTCTTGTCAATCCTATGTCTCTTCTTTTTAGGTCTCTCCCAAGACTCCAGTCCTACCTGGTCCCCTTCGGAACAAGCTGTTCTGTTCTCCTCTGCCCGCAGCCCCTTGGGAGAGGTAAGACTGTGAGCCCCATTTTTTCGGCTTCTTGTGCTAAGTGGGGTTCATCAGTTTATAATGTTTTTTATTATCCATTAATGAGTGAGGTCATGTGGTATTTCTCTTTCATTGACTGGCTTATTTCACTCAGCATGATGTTCTCCAATTCCATCCAGGTTGCTGCAAATGATGAGAATTCCTTCTTTTTTATGGCAGCATAGTATTCCATTGTGTAGATGTACCATAGTTTTTTGATCCAGTCATCTGCTGACGGGCACCCAAGCTGTTTCCAAATCCTAGCTATTGTAGATTGTGCTACTATGAACATAGGGGTACATATATCCTTTCTGATTGGTGTTTCTAGTTTCTTGGGATATAATCCTAGGAGTGGGATTACTGGGTCAAATGGGAGTTCCATTTTCAGTTTTTTGAGGAAACTCCACACTGTTCTCCACAGTGGTTGCACCAGTCTGCATTCCCACCAGCAGTGCACGAAGGTCCCTTTTTCTCCGCAACCTAGCCAACACTTGTCGTTTGTTGATTTGTTGATGTTGGCCATTCTGACAGGTGTGAGATGGTACTGCATTGTTGTTTTGATTTGCATCTCTCAGATAATTAGTGACTTTGAACATGTTTTCATGTGCCTTTTGGCCTTCCTTCTGTCTTCTTTTGAAAATATTCTATTTAGGTCCATTGCCCATTTTTTAATTGGATCATTCATTTTTCTTTTATTTAGTTGTATAAGCTGTTTGTAGATGTTGGAGATTAAACCTTTATCAGTGATAACGTTTGCAAATATGTTCTCCCACACCGTGGGCTTTCTTGTTGTTTTGTTGATGGTTTCTTTTGCTGTAAAAAAGCTTTTTATTTTGATGTAGTCCCATTTCTTTATTTTCTCTTTAGCTTCCATTGCCCTAGGGGCAGTATCAGTGAAGAAATTCTTTTGGCATTCGTCTGAGATTTTGCTGCCTGTGGATGCTTCTAGTATTTTTATGGTTTCCCGTCTGATGTTTAAGTCCTGTATCCATTTTGAGTTTATTTTTGTGTATAGTGTAAGTTGGTGATCTAGTTTCATTCTTTTGCATGTGTCTGTCCAATTTTCCCAACACCATTTATTGAAGAGACTGTCTTGACTCCATTGTATATTCGTGCCTCCTTTGTCAAATATTAATTGAGCATAGTGGTTTGGGTTGATATCTGGGTTCTCGATTTGATTCCATTGATCTATATGTCTGTTTTTGTGCCAGTACCAGGCTGTTTTAAGAACAGTGGCTTTGTAATATAGCTTGAAGTCTGGTATTGAGATCCCTCCTACTTTACTCTTCTTTCTTAGGATTGCTGGGGCTATTGGGGGTCTTTTATTGTTCCAAATGAACTTTTGGAGAGTTCTTTCTAGGTCAGTGAAATATGCCATTGGTATTTTAATGGAGGGTGCATTGAACCTATAGATTGCTTTAGGAAGTATGGACATTTTTATGATGTTGATTCTACCAATCCATGAACATGGTATGTTCTTCCATCTGTTTACATCTTCCTCTATCTCATTTTCAGTGTCGTCTAGTTTTCCGCAAATAGGTCCTTTACTTCCTTAGTTAAATTTATTCCTAAGTATCTTAATTTTTTTGGTGTGATGGTAAATGGAATTGCTTTTTTAGTCTCTGTTTCTGTAATTTCATTGTTAGTGTATAGAAATGCTATGGATTTCTTGGCATTAATTTTGTACCCTGCTACATTGCCAAATTCATTTATTAAGTCAATTCGTTTTTTAATGGAGTCTTTTGGGTTTTTTATGTACAATATCACGTCATCTGCAAATAAGGATAACTTTACTTCTTCTTTTCCAATTTGGATGCCTTTTATTTCCTCTTCTTATCTAATTGCAATGGCTAGTACTTCCAGTACTATGTCAAACAGGAGTGGCGAGAGTGGGCATCCCTGTCTTGTTCCTGTTCTTGGTGGGAATGGTTTTAGTTTTTGCCCATTGAGTATGATGTTGGCTGTGGGTTTATCATATATAGCTTTTATTATGTTGAGGTATTATCCCTGTACTCCCACCTTTTTGAGAGTTTTTATCAAGAAAGGGTGTTGGATTTTATCAAATGCTTTTTCTGCATCAATTAATATCACTATATGATTTTTATCTTCCAATTTGTTTATGTGATGTATCACATTTATTGATTTGCGGATATTGTACCATCCTTCATTCCTGGAATAAATCCTACTTAGTCATGGTGTATGATCTTTGTGATGCTCTGCTGGAGCTGATTTGCTAGAATTTTGTTGAGGATTTTGACATCTATGTTCATGAGGGATATTGGCCTGTAATTCTCTTTCATTGAGTTGTCTTTATCTGGTTTTGGTATTAGAGTGATGTTGGCTTCATAGAAGGAGCTTGGAAGTGTTCCTCCCTCCTGAATTTTTTGGAATAGTCTGAGGAGGATAGGTTTTAATTCTTCCTTGAATGTTTGGTAAAACTCTCCTGTGAAGCCTTCTGGCCCTGGGCTTTTGTTTGCTGAAAGCTTTTTGATGACTGTTTCAATTTCTACCCAAATCATTGGTCTATTGAGATTTTTAGACTCTTCCTGATTGAGTTTTGGAAAGTTGTATTTTTCTAGGAATATATCCATTTCTTCCAGATTGTTCAGTTTGTTGGAATAGAGTTGTTCATAGTATTTTGTAACAATACTTTGTATTTCAGCGGGGTCTGTTGTTATTTCACCTCTTTCATTTCTGATTTTGTTTATTTGAGTCCTCTCTTGGTTAGCCTGGCTAGAGGTTCATCAATCTTGTTTATCCTTTCAAAGAACCAGCTCTTAGTTTTGTTGATCTTATGTATTATTTCTTTGGTCTCTATGTCATTTATCTCCACTCTGATTTTTATTATTTCCTTCCTTCTGCTTACACTGGGCTTTTCTTATTGCTCTTTTTCTAACTCATTGAGTTGTAGAGTTAGATAATTTGTTACCATTTTTTCTTGTTTTTTTGCAATAGGCTAGTAGGAGTATGAATTTCCCTCTCAAAACTGCTTTTGCTGTGTCCCATAGATTTTGGATTGTTGTGTTTTCATTGTCATTTGTTTTCAGGATGTTTTTAATTTCTTCCTTGATTTCTCTGGTAACCCAGTCCTTGTTTAATAGCATGCTGTTTAGTCTCCATGTGTTTGATTTCTTTGGATTATTTTAATTGTAGTTAATTTCCAGTCAAATGCCACTATGATCTGAGAAGATGCTTGATATGATTTCTATCTTCTTGAATTTGAAGAGACTTTGCCTATGTCCCAACATGTGGTCTATCTTTGAGAATGTCCCATGTGCACTTGAGAAGAATGTATAATCTCTGGCTTTGGGGTGGTAAGTTGTGAAGATGTTGATTAATTCCATCTGGTCTGGTGAGTCATTTAGGATTGATATTTCTTTGCTGATTTATTGTTTAGATGATTTGTCCAAAGGTGAAAGTGGGGTATTAAAATCTCCTACTATGATTGTATTGCTATTAATCTCTCCCTTAATGTCCTCCGGCAGGTTTTTGTTTTTGTTTTTTTTGTTCTTGTTTTTATGTATTTGGGTGCTCCTGTATTGGGTGTATATATATTTTCCAGGGTTATTTCTTCTTGTTGGATTGCTCCCTTTAGTATTATGAAGTGGCCTTCCTTATCTCTTGTTATGTCCTTTACTTTGAGATCTAATTTGTCAGATATAAGTATTGCTACCCCAGCTTTTTTTTCATTTCCATTAGCCTGGAAAACCTTTTTCCATCCCTTCAACCTCAGTCTGTGTGCGTCTTTTTTTCTGAAGTGGGTTTCTTGTAGACAAGAGATATATGGGTCTTGTTTTCTTATCTAATCTGTTACCATATGTCTTTTGATTGGAGCATCTAATCCATTTACATTTAAAGTTATTATTGATAGGTACTCATTTGACGCCATTTTTATTCTATATATCTGTGTTCCTTCTTCACTTTCTATTTCTTTATTTTTACAGCAGACCATTTAGCATTTCTTGCATTGCTAGTTTGGTGGCGATAAATTCCCTTAGTATGTTTTTGTCTGTGAAGCTCCTGATTTCACCTTCAATTTTGATTGATAGCCTTGCTGGGTACAGTATTCTTGGATTCAGACCCTTCCTTTGCATGACTTTGTATATTTCATCCCATTCCCTTATAGCCTGATGAGTTTCTGTGGAGAAATCAGTTGCTAGTCTGATAGGGGTTCCTTTATATGTAACTTTCTGTCTCTCTCTGGCTGTTTTTAAGATTCTTATTTTGTCATTGGTGTTTGCCAGTTTTATTATAATGTGCCTTGGTGTCGGTCTTCTGGGGTTCATTTTCCTTGGGACTCTGTGAGCATCTTGGATTTGTGTGGGTTTTTTCTTCTCTATCTCAGGAAAGTTTTCTCTCATTATTTCTTGAAATACGTTTTCCATGTCTTCCTCAGTTTCCTTTCCTTCTGGAACCCCTATTATTCTAATATTGTTTTGTTTTGTATTGTCCCAAAGTTCCCTTAGGCTCTCCTCCTGCTTTTTAATTTTTTTTTCCAGAAGCTGCTCTAATTGGGTATTTTTTTTCCATCTTGTCTTCTAGCTCACTGATGTGGTCCTCTGCTTCTTCTAGTCTACTCTTGATGCTTTCTATTGAGTTCTTTGCAGTAGCGATGTCATTTTTCATTTCTTCTTGGTTCTTCTTCATTTCCTCTTGGTTCTTACTCATATTGTCAAATTTGTCTTTCATTCTTTTTAGCCATCTTATGATCATTACTCTGAATTCTTGCTCTGGTGGGTTGCTTGCCTCTAACTCGTTTACTTCCTTTTCTGGTGATGCCTGCTTTTCTTTCATATGCAGGCTGTTTCTTTGTCTCCCTATGATTTCTCTTTTTAGGATGTCTGGTTATGTAGTTCTCTCTCTCCTTTTTGCCGTGCGGTGGGGCATCCTTTGAGTCCAAGTGTTCGCGCTGCCTGGGATCAGCGTTCTGGGGTCACAGCTGCTTGGTGGTCTCTGCGGCTTAATATAGAAAGCTTCCTTTTTAACAGGTAACAGAGGCCTCTAGTTGGTCAGGGTCCTGATGGCTCCCATCTTGCAGTGATGGCCTCTCCCGGACTCCGTGTGTCTTCCTCCACAGCTATTCTGCTGTTGCATTATTTCTTAATATTTTGTTAAAATGAGCTATGAATTTTAATTTTACTTTTTCAAATATGTTTTTCTTGATTTCAGAAAGGAAGGGAGAGAAAAGGAAAGATAGAAATATCAACATTAAGAGAGAATTATTGATCAGCTGCCTCCTGCACACCCCCTATGGGGGATCGAGCCCATAACCAGGGCATGTGCCCTGACCAGGAATCAGACCATGACATCCTGATCCATAGGTCGAAGCTCAACCACTGGCTGGGCTGAACTATTATTTTAAAATTAGAAATACTTATCCATATTACCAGTAGTATGTGAACCACACACTAAAGAATGCTATATGAACACATTATAATAATATGTTCCATAGAATATGTTTTAGAAAATGCTTTCTGGAGAAAAAATCAGGAGGGAAGTCCAAATTGAAGTCTGGGTCTGATTGCTCTGGTCTTTGAGATTCTAAGAAGTGAGATGAATTTAGTGATTTTTACATCAGAGATGGAGAAGCTTTACTGAGATAAGTGATGGGAGGACAAGGCATAAGGATACATGCAGCAATATCTGGATCTTTGAACTTCCTGGAGAGGACAGTTTATAATACAGACTGTAAAAAAAAAAACATATATATATATATATATATATATATATATATATATATAATACAGACTGTAAATATATATATATATATATATATATATATATATATATATATATATATATTTATTATTTTTTTTTTTAATCTTCTTACCATGCTGGCCACTATGTTTGTACATCAGAGATCTTGGAGCTCTTGAGTAGTGGGAGCTGAGTTCATTCGTGTCCTCTGACCAGCACTCACCTAATGCACTTAGAATATAGGATTCTTCTGTGGTGAGCCAAACCCTGAAAACTGAGTCTGTTCAACTAAGTAAATGGTTCTAAAAATTACAGAAAGTGAAAAAGGTTCTCCTGGAGCATTTTGATTAATAGCTTAAAGGATGGAAAGAGGAATTTATTTCAGCACCACAGGCTCTTTGAGAGAGAAAGCTCCCTAAGAGATCTTTGCTGATTATTAAGTCTCTAAACAGTTTTCATCTATCTTCTTTTTCTGTAGGGGGCCCAGATTCCACTCCCCTCTGAAGCTACCAATGTGAAATTGCCCAAGGAGCACCTTTCCCCAGAGCTTTTGGTTTCCAAAGCAAAGTTCAAAGCAGAAGTTCCCACTGATCAGAAAGCTGTGCACTCTCCCATCCAGTCCCAGCCAGCAGCTCTGCTGGAAGTCAGGACACATACCTCTCCAGTTCGTTCACAGGGCCTGTCCCCATTGGCCACTTCCACCATCATCCCCACACAGCTCCCCATTTGCTCCCAACCTAAACCTTCCTTTGAGGCCACCATTCCATCTCCCACCAAGTCCCCCATATGCTTCCAGCCTGATCCAGTGAAAACTTCCACCCCTCTAACCCCACTCCACATGAAGAACCAAGGGGATGCCAAGTACAGACTGGGCAGCCCTCTTGCTATGGACGAGGCCCTGAAGCCAAATGACTTGGTGGCCGAGTTCTGGATGAAGAGCGCAGAAATTCGCCGCAGCCTTGGGCTCACACCCGTGGATCGGAGCAAGGAGCCCAAGCATAGCTTCCCCTCACCTGCCTTTAAGCCATTATCCTTAAAATCCTATTCAGTTGAGAAGTCTCCTCAGGATGAGGGGCCCCATCTTCTAAAACCTCCACCTAGGAGACTGGCAAAGTCAGATAGTGACCAGCCCTCTCTGCCAACCCCCAAATCCCCATCTGAAAGAGAACTAAAAAGCTCCCACGAGGAGCGAAGAGACCTGTCCAACAGTTCGGGGCTGGGCCTTCATGGGAGCTCCTCCAACATGAAGACCTTGGGAAGCCAGAGCTTCAATACCTCAGACTCCACCATGCTTACTCCACCCTCAAGCCCGCCTCCACCCCCACCCCAGGACGAGGAGCCCGCAACTCTTCGAAGGAAGCCATATCAGATATATGGGCAGAAGGAAACCAAGCCCAAGGCCTCCATAATCCCACCCCCACCACCTACTACCTTTATGCGGGCCCCCCGAGAGCCTGCCCAACTGCCCTGGGAGGAGGTACGGAAGTCATTTGTAGAGAGTGTAGCTGAGATCCCCTTTGCTGATGACGTGGAGGATACATATGATGACAAGACCGAGGACTCAAGTCTGCAGGAGAAGTTCTTCACACCCCCTTCCTGCTGGCCCCTCTCTGACAAGCTCTTCCCCCCACCCCTAGCCAAGGAGAATGTCAAGTTGCTTACTCTAGAGAGCAGGGTTCAACTACAGAAGAGGGAACTACCTATAGTCTCTCCAGAAGCCAAGGAGCTGGCTGAAGAACGCATGCGAGCCAGAGAAAAGTCTATAAAGAGCCAGGTGTTGAGAGACGCCATGGCCAAACAGCTGAGTCGGATGAAGGAGATGGAAATTGGGGCTGAGACCTCCAGGCCACCAGGAGGCACCTGCCATAAAGCCTCCTCAATGCCCTCTAAAGGCAAAGTCCTTGGCCTTAAATCCCCTAAATACCCAGTGCACAAAGGCCCTGAGGAGCCCACCTTGAAGCACAAAACCACTAGTGAAGAATTCCTCTCCCCCACATTGGACTCTGGGGCCCCAGATGGTTCAGTCACTTCATCCGAGGGCTCTAGCGGGAAGAGCAAAAAGAGATCGTCACTCTTCTCCCCCCATAGAAACAAGGAGAGAAAATCTAAAGGTGAAGGCCAGCCCCTGGAGAAACACAGCCCAGATCTCCTGGAGGAAGCAGCTGCCAAGCCCAGGTCCTTGTGGAAATCAGTCTTCTCAGGGTATAAGAAGGACAAGAAGAAGAAGGGTGACAACAAGTCCTGTTCCAGCACCCCTTCCAGTGGTGCCACTGTGGACTCTAGCAAGCACAGGATGTCTCCAATAGTGAGAGCAGGTATATCAGCACCAAGGAACCCCTTCTGGGGCAGAGCATAAGGTGTGCATCCTTCAGTCATTTGGTTCTTCTCAAAAGGTCCCTTCCCCATGCCACTCCCCCAAGGGTGTTTAGAGCTGTGCTGACAGGGTAGGGAGGAAAAAAAATTGAACAAGGGGTTCACAGAACATATTTAATAGGATAATTCTAAAAAACAGCCTGAAGCTGGGTAAGGGAGACAGGAGGTTTATGCACTTCCTAAAGTCGCTCACCCTAATGGAGGGCAATGCTGCTGGGAGTTCCAGGCAGTCTCTTTGGGCACCATCTATTCAGTGTTGGTCCATCCTGCCTGAACCGATGTCAGCATCCAAGTTCCTAGCTCCTCAATATAGGAAAAGTCATTCAAACTTGAAAGAAACCAAACCTCCACCCCATTCCCCCAGGCTACTCTTGTGAGTATAGAAATCAGAAAAGCACCATGGTATTATGGACTGGTCAGAGTCTTCACTCTGCCCCTTCTATCCATCCTCACAGAGCTGCAGCTGCGGGACCAGCGGAGTTTCTCCGAGGACTCTGACCTCTCCAGTGATGACATCCTCGAGAAGGTCTCCCAGAAGTCCAAGCGAGAGGTACAAAGGCCTGGTCAGCAGTAGGGCTTCAGAGGCATTGGGAATCTCAACTCCTGTCCTCTGTTGAGTGTTGGTCTTTGATGAGGTGGAAGAAAGGAAAGCAAATCCCAAAGCAGGGGTGGAATCCCAAAGAGGGGAGCAAGGGGGTACACAAAGTGAGAATGGGGTTTGATTGACTCATGAGGGAGCCTCTTGCTCCCTGGACCAGCAAAGGTGGGGAAGTAGTTCCCCTTACATCACAGACCCACCTCTGAGTGAGGCAGCTATGAAACCAGTGCCTGAATTTTTTTTTTCATTTTTAAAAACAAAAGTAAGTTATTTTTGTTTAAAATATTTATATAGAAAATTTAAGATAATACACTTTTTTAATTATTTATCTTGTAGCCTTACCAAGAGATAACTCAAGATTACCTCTTTCCTTTGCTTCAGTCTGACTAAATACAACTAAAGTGTCCTCTTCTTGAGTGCTTTGGCCCAGCCGAGAGCATGTGCATTTGCTTTCTAATGGACCCAGTCCCAGTTCACTGCAAAAGCATTGCTCTGTTACTGATGTGCTCTTTTGGCATTCCACAGATATATCATGATTTTATGCTTCTGTTGCTGCCTCTACCAAGATAGTACTCCCTCCCTTCCAGAAATCAGTAAATGACTGCCCCACATCAGCCAGGGTACAAATGTTGAGTGCATTCCTTAGGTTGTAGTTATGTGGCTCCTATGGAACTTTTCACATGCTGCTTGGGGAAACCATCTGTCTTCTTTTTCTTACTTGTTCTAATAATGACTTTTTTTTAATCCTGGTTGGTGAGAGAGAGGAGGCAGTGAGAGGCAGAATCAACATGCTTAAATTTAAATGTGACCACTAGGAGGCTAGCTCATTCTTCTTGGGGTCAATATGCTCTTGAAATGCGAGCTGCACAGTGGTGGGCTCCCCAATGCTTCAGAAGAAGCAGCCAGGCCACAGAAGTACATCCTAAGGCTCTCTAGGTCTCCCTCCCTCTCTTCTCCTTACCTCCCTGACTGCCTCTCAACCTTGGAATGGGGATGATGAGGAAGCCAGGTAATTAACCTCGGCTCTGAGCAGCTCTGCACAAGACTCCTGGAGTAAGAGGTTATAACTACTGCCTGAAATGTTTGTGTGGTTTTTTTTTTTATAAATATCAGTTCTTTCTGCTATTTCAGGTTTCTTTGGTGACCCAGGGGGCACCCCTTATTCTGTTCAGGAGCCTTGCCAGTAGAGAGCCTTTTGAAAGACAGCATTAGGTTGCTACTCAGCAAGCTCTGTGTCAGTGTCTCTGGTGACAGGAACTCCCCACCATCTGTCACCCATCCCAGCACCAATAGTATTCAGTGGGGAGGAGTAGTCTGAATCTCCATGAGCAAATGAACTACTAAATGAGAAATAGCATCTATATGTTTAAATAGTTTAATTTATACATGAAAGAGATTGAGAAGAAAAAAGGGAAGTTTTGAGGCATGAGGAAGAACCTATCTTCACGGGAGAAAAGTGAGCCCAGCTCTGGCCCATGTGCCTCAGTTAGTTGAGCATCATTCCATGCACGGAAAAGTTGCAAGCCCAATTCCTAGTCAGGCTAAAAACACAAAGGAAGGGAGAGAGTGAGAGAGGGATGGAGGAAGAGAGGAAGGGAGATAGCAAAGCCAGCCCAGGCCTTCGTCAGAGTGGGACTCACTATAGTGCAACTGCAAGAGTCTATACCCAGGTTCCTCACCTACCAGTCTTATGTGACATGGTGAAAAAGAATAAATTTAGTCTTTGTGTTTGTTTTAAACTTTTGATCTTACTCTATCTTTTATTCTATTTTTAATTATTATTATTATTATTATTATTATTACTATTCTGTTTTGTTTTGTTTTTGCTATCCCCTTAAAAGTCAATTTATATACCACATAGCTTAGCATTCAGAAAATAATATGCACCAAAGGTAGTGTCTTGTTCCCCTTGGCTGGTCATTGTTGCATGTGTGTCCATGATTAACCATGGGGCAGTCCCCAGTCTAGCCATACTTCCATTAATTGTTCATACATGCATGGAGCAGTCACATACACTAGCAGCAGAACTTTCTGTAGCTGTGTCATGACAGAGAAGGAGGGTGACATACCCTGATCTTTGCTGGCTGGAGTGCATGTAGTAGTGTCGATCTGAGTAGCTGGGGGACAGGACTGCCCTTTGGGACTGAGTGCTGCAGGAATGGGGAATTCACGAGCCCTTGGTTCCTGATCTGCAAGGTGACTTGTTTAGGGCACTGGAAAACCACTGACACCGTTAAGGACTACCTGCTCAATTGGCTCTCCACTATCCCTTGTTTTCTTATAATAAACATTACTAGAGTACACACCTGAGTTGAATTTGGATGACTCCTTTAAAGTCTATAAAAGACTCCTTTTTTTTTTTTTCTTGGAAGCAATAAAGAAGGTGTTATGAATAGAAACAACCCCTCAGCATTTGCTTCTCAGTGATTGCCCAGAGCTTATTCAACACTCACTTGTGCCTTCATTTCCCACATTTGCAGGTGAAATTGCTCAGATAGTTTCATTCATTGAATTGCACTGGATTAGGCTGGTTGCCTCTCAGATCTTGATGGCACTGCTGAAACAGCCACTCCCTGCCTTCCTTTCAGAGCAGGTTCGTCTCCATAGTTTCTTCTTCAGACCATTAGTTCGTCTCCATAGTTTCTTCTTCAGACCATTAGTCAATTTGGAATTCTCTCAGACTGAAAATAGAAGCACCTTTGTTTTCGCTACTTTAAATGTTACTTTTTAAAAGAATCTTATAAATATTGCTCATCTGAAGAAAGTGGTTTTTGATACCAAACAAAAAATGAAAGTACTCTAATTTCCCCCCCCCCCTGTATATATCCTAGTAGGAGGCATGGAAAACATCTTACCAATATATTTACCCTAAAAAAGTCTTTAAAAGAGCAGACATTCTTATATGAGAAACAGGTGATACTAACAATAAAGAAGCATATGTACTTTTGTTGCATTAATTCTCTGTCAGTACTCCACTGAACCTTCTGTGTTCCTGTCACAATGGGAAAGAAGCTCACTTGTGGAGCTTGATGTGTATCCTGTGGCATTTAGGAAGTACCCTGGAAGTCTTCCCATGCCTCTGGCCTCCCTATTTGCCCTGCAGGCACTCTGCAGCCTGGAATGGTGCTCTCTATGTCCTAGTCAACCAGTGCCCAACATCTCAGGCACCTGACTGAGGAAATCTCTTGTTCCCTCCAGCCAAGAACTTATACAGAGGAAGAACTGAGTGCCAAGCTGACCCGGCGTGTACAGAAGGCAGCTCGAAGACAGGCCAAGCAAGAGGAACTTAAGCGGCTGCACAGAGCCCAGGTAAAACCAGGAGGGGCCACACCACAGCACGCTTGTTTCCAACCAGCTATTCCTTATCCATGATGAGGGAGGGAGAGGAAAGCAAAGCAGAGGTAGATGGGGTGTCCCACTACCTGAGAGGACAGCCCCAAAGGCTCAGGCCACAAACCCCTGGCTTAATATAACTACAGAAACCTCGATTTTGTGGAGTTTTAGGTAGAAAGGGAAGAGCTTAGCTTTGAGTTTCTAAATTCCTTACTGTGAGATAATTTTAAAGTCAACTAATTCAATTTAAGAATATTTATTGAGGCAATCTGTGACCTGGCAGCCTCTGATGGGCCTGGGATTTAGAGATCAGGGTAGTGTTCCAGTTATCAGCCTCTGTCTGCAGGCCTCACAGATCATAACCATTCTAGATTGGAGATGGTGAGGACTAAATAATTTCTGTATACAAAGTCTTAAAAAGAAACCTAAATATAATATGGGTCTTTAATTAAATCATATCTACTTGTATTCATAGAGATTAGTTCACTAATCAAAAGGTATACAACAATGAGAAACATTAACAGAAAATCCAAATACAATGAAGTATTTCTCTGAATTCCACGTTTCATCAAGCATCCAAAACCACCAGTCTTGCCGAAACCGGTTTGGCTCAGTGGATAAAGCATCAGTCTACGGACTGAAAGATCCCAGGTTCGATTCCGGTCAAGGGCATGTACATTGGTTGTGGGTACATCCCCAGTAGGTGGTGTGCAGGAAGCAGCTGGTTGATGTTTCTCATCAGCGTTTCTAGCTCTCTATCTCTCTCCCTTCCTCTCTGTGGAAAATCAATAAATATATATATATATTTTTTAATATATTTTATTGATTTTTTTACAGAGAGGAAGGGAAAGAGATAGAGAGCTAGAAACGTCGATGAGAGAGAAACATTGACCAGCTGCCTCTTGCACACCCCCTGCTGGGGTTGTGCCTGCAACCAATGTACATGCCCTTGACCGGAATCGAACCTGGGACCTTTCAGTCCGCAGACCAACGCTCTACCACTGAGCCAAACCGGTTTTGGCAATAAAAATATATATTTTTTAAAAACACACACACAAAACACCAGTCTTTTAGTCCTTGTCTTGCACATTATTCCATATGCACATTATCTGCACTGATATGCCATTGGCTGCTGCTGCTTTGGGGGTTGAATGTTCTTCTGATTGCCCATTGTTAGTCCCCATGTAGCACACAGGAACTTTTCATTACAGATTCTGGCTGTGTGCTCCATTCTAGATTTCTTTTTTCTTTTTAATCTTGTAGAGAGAGAGTATCTGCAATAGTGTCCAAGAACCCCTGATAATGCTTTAACAATATCACCATCAGAAAGATCCCTGGTCAGTGTGGCTTAGAGACTAGAGTGTGATCCATGCACCGTGGGGTTGTGGATTTGATATCTGATCAAGGGCACGTACCTGGGTTGCAGGTTTGACCCCCTGCCGTGGTTGGGGAGTGCATGTGGGATGCAACCAACAATATCTCTCTCTCTGCTCCCCCTCTTATACTTTCTCTAAGAGCAATGGAAGAAATATCCTCGAGTGAGGATTAATACCAAAAAAATGAAGAAGCAGAAAGGTCCTAGGCTGTAGTATTTAATTCCTTCTCACAGGAATTGAATATATTTCCTCTCTTTGAACTTCCCCGAGAGAAGCTGGTCATTTCTTGATGTGCCCCCATATACATGCTGCTGACTGATGATGGGCCCTGGAGACATGTTCTTCATACACTGTACATGATGTCCATTAACTAGAGCCTTTCCAAATATTTAAAAATATATATATTTCATTGATTTTCTACAGAGAGGAGGGAGAGGGATAAAGAGTCAGAAACATAGATAAAAGAGAAACATCAATCAGCTGCCTCCTGCACACTTCCCACTGGGGATGTGCCCAAAACCAAGGCACATGCCGCCTTTGACCAGAATAGAACCTGCGACCCTTCAGTCCACAGGCCGAAGCTCCATCCAATGAACCAAACCAGTTAAGGCCCAAATTTTTTACCTTATTAGTTTTTTCCCTTCTGTATGTTTGCAGATTGTTGGCCTCTTGAAGGCTAGGAGATGAGAGGGTCTTCTGTTGCTTTATTCCCCATAGATCATCCAGCGGCAGCTGGAGCAGGTGGAGGAGAGGCAGCGACAGCTGGAGGAAAGAGGTGTTGCTGTGGAGAAGGCGCTTCGTGGGGAAGCAGGTACTGTCTGGGCTGTCCTGTGAGGAGGTTGTTCTTAAGGGAAGCCCCTACTCCCATCCCCATAGTAGGGCTAGTTTTTTTTATCACCTCAGCTTCTTTTCCAGTTAGTTTTTTTGGGTCCCTTCATCACAGATTTGGGCTTCTTATAAAACAAAGGAAAGAAAAGCACCTCTGTTTGTAACTGCCCCAAGGCCCACACCTGTTCTTCCACCCTGTCTTAGAGCTTGCCATTTACCTGTGGGATGAAATCTCAGTCTGTTGATGGCAAGCACTTCCTCTGTTGATGGCAAGCACTGGGCCTTTTCTTTTCCTCCTCTTCTTTTCCCGCCCCATCATTTTCTCTAGAAGAAAATAACTGGGAATAAGGAAGAACTATACCACAAGAAACCATCATAGAACTGCACAAGCAGAGCCCCTGGCCTGCTCTCTACATGTTACCTTTGGTTTTTGGCTATCCAGGCTCCCTTTCCTGCCCAAGCTGCTCAGAGTATGTGAGGACATATGCCTCACAGTCACTCACCATCTACTGTGGGTTGAGCACACATATTTCCCAGTGTCAGCCCAGACTCTGTATTTCCTAGTCTGATTACTCAAGGCAGGGTGGGAAGGCTCAGAGGACTATAGCACGCCAGCACTAAGTAGACATTGGGAAATAGCTGTGAGGGCCATTGTGCTTGGTGACTGCCGTTCTTGGGGAAAATCGAAGTGTAGTGCGGAAATACCCACCGTTCACCCAAGGAGTGTGTGGGGTGGATTAAGCACAGTTAGGCACAGAGAAAGCAAGGAGTTATCCGGAATCCCAAGGGCAAGGAATCCCTATTGGTGCAAGACCTGAAAACGATTGGAACTAGCCCCAACTGGAGCTCCAACACAGTCATGGAGTGATTGAAGTCTGCTTTTTTCAAGAATCCACAAGTCTCCAGATGTGGAAACCTCCATCTCTTGTAGAGAGCACAGGTTAAGCATTCAAGTTTTGAGGCTGGGGATCAAGAAAGGTAGTAACTTAATTTTGCAGTAGCACCTTATTACTTTCTTATCCTCGTGTGGCAGAGCGGCTGTGCTATGTATGTCTCCTGGTAAGCAGGCTATCTGTAAACTAAAGAAGAGCCAGGAACTGGACCAGTTGCTGCCATCTGATCTTGCTACAGAACTGACCAATGGGGTGACCTTGCAGTATGTGCCTGGTCTAAAGATGAATTCATAGGGTTCTTTAAAACTGAAGTTCACATGGTGGGAGTCAGGGGTCAGACATAGAAGTAGGTGTTTTTCCAGTCCCTTCAAGGCCTAGAAATTGCAGTTAAACAATTGACTCAGTGAAGAACTTCAAGTGAAAAGATGGGGTGGGGGAAAAGATGAGGGTGTGATGTTCTTGGGTTTGTGCCTTACTGATGCTTGACTTACTGCTTGAAGCCCAAGTCACCAAATGAAATGCAAATACTTGAACCACTGAGGAGCCAATGAGCCAGAAGCCTGGAATGTGTGATTGCAAGGCAAGAACTGGCTCTGTGTCAGCGGGTGGAGGTTCAGGTTCACTTAAAAGGATACCTTACTTCCAAATGAAGCTGTAATGTATCCACCATCCTATTTTTGCTCTGTGTCCTGCATGCTCTGAATTGGCCTCCTCAGTTAAGCCTGAGCCCCTCAAGGAAGTTGGTCCAAACCTACCAGAGATGCCCTGTACCTGCTATATGCCACTCGCAGGGCCCTGCCCTCTCTGCTTTCTCTTCTTGCAGAAGAAATTAAGAGAGAGCCCATCATTCCTTCCCCACTGATTACTTCTGCCAAAGTGGAAAGTGAAGGGTAGATCTCCCAACACGTAGTCAGACTAGCTCAATAGTGTGTGCCTCCTTGCTTACAGATTCGGAGGTTTGAGTGGGCCACCGCAGAGTTGATGGTTCCCGTAAAGCACTTGGGTGCCTGTCAGCTGCCATGCAATTTGAGTCTATGGTGGTGCTTCAGTGTTTCTGCATCATGCTGCGTGGTTCAAGCTGCTTTATACCATTAAATACTGACATAAGATTTTGCCAAAATTCCTCTTTCTAGCTGTTTAGATAATTTTCTGTTCATAATCATATACAAACAGGATTTTATCTAAGTCATTGGTTTTCAAACTTGTTTTTTTACCAGCAGAACCATTTTTACAAACCAAATTATAAACTCAAGTAAAAAAGAATTACTCTAAAATGTTAATCAACAAAATTTGAAAGCACGGAATCCACTTCCAGTTCACACCTGTGTAGGGAACATCCTGACACACAGAGGTAATTGCTGCAAATGGTAAGTCTTTAACAGATCACATGGAGATCTCAGGATATACAGTTTAAATGATAGAGATGCTTGACACTTAAATAGAGTACTAAAAATTGTTTTCACTGGGAAATCACTGACAAATCTAATAGTAGTTCATATTCTTCATAAAGAGTATATCTCAGATAAAAGCTCCCCAATACACAATGAATACAAACCCAAATATACTATGATATTGTGTTATGTGTATTACCTACCTAGAGGACCTCTTTGTGACAAAAGCTGCTTGAGGCTGAGGAAGAACTCTCTTAGGAACCTGACCTGTACACCATAAGAATATACATGCCAGAATGTCAATGAATGAATAAATGTCCTTTTCCCTAACACATTTACAGGGCGTACATATATTTACACAAAGAGGGCAGAAGAAACTTGGTCCTGAGGGCTTCACAAAAGCCATTTTACCTGGTAGTACAAATTAATGTGTTGATGGTCTTCAGTGGGTTAAAAGTTGGCATATCAAGCATTTGAACATGGAGTAATTTATTTAAGTTTTTAAAAATAAGGTAAAAGTATTTGTGAATCAGGTATTTGTGAGGCCCCTGGAGTAGCACTTGAAAAACCCTAGGGCTTCACAGAACATTTTGATAACCACTATTCTAGTCCATACTCTTCCAAACAAGGCTTTACCAGAAACCTCCATCCAAATACATAAACATCTATTCTGTTTATAAAGACAGGCTTCAGCAGTTCTATTGGGAGATTTTCTCAGGATGCATTTGGGAAATTCTAAGAATATAATAGCTCTTACCATAAGAATATATTTCCAAATATATTTTTTCCTTTTCTTATTTAAGCACATCACTTCCAAGGCCCCCCTTTTTTCAGATGCCCCAGTGGCCCTGTTTCTACTTGGCAGAGATCATCTTTGATGCAAATCTGTGCACACTGGCTGCTTCTTCCTCTGCTGCTTCAGCATCCTCTCCTCTTGTTAGTTCGGTTGTTCCCAGCTAATCTTAATATAGCATGACAATCTGGAGTCTTCCAGCAATGCTCATCAGCCCCTTCCCTGGGAGGCATACATCTGGTCAACTTATTTTTTGGTCTCACTGGCTGAGAGGTCAGACTGCCCAATTAGCTAAAATGCCTTCCAGAGGAGGAGGCCTGATATGGACCTGCCATCCATTGGCCTCAACTTACCCAAGGCTCATGAATATCCAGACCACCAGGGTTAGATTCAGAGCTTTCCAGCCAAGAGCAAGACTAAGACTGACATGATATCTGGTTTGGAGCATCTGGAAAGCCCTTTTTGTTCATTGAACCCTGATTCAAACTTAAACCAATGGATCAACCTTGAGCATGAGTTGAAAAATCATTCCAGGTTTGCATTCTACTTTTTGGTGTGTCCATTCTTAAGGGGGAACCCTGTTAGGAAACAAAAAGCTGCTAAGATCAGCATTCAGATTGCGAAATGTGGAGGAAAGGGAGAGAAATAGCAGCTGGCCTTTATTGTGCTCTGCATTTGTTTATGATTCTGCCAAAGTCCAGTCCCTCAGCACAGATCATTCTCTGAATTTCAGGCATGTGAATTACATAACATCCTTACTGGATTGCCACATGGAGCTAAAAAGCTAGGAGTGCCAATGGCTAGCAAACCTTGAAGAACCTTAAGACAAATAGCCACAGCTCATTTCCTACTTTTAGAGAGAAGACTGGCTGAAGTTAGGGTCTAACCTCAGAAGAAAAAGCATCTCCTTTCTCTCACCTAGCACAAAAGTGGTTCTGCAAGGAGTTTGGTATACTCACCAGTGGGGGTCACATGTGTGAATTCTTGAGAGAGCTCTTTAACCCTAAGGATTGGTGTCCTTGCCAAGCTTTTTTAGGTGGTTTATGTCTTGCCTGGGGTCTCTAATATTCAGTAAATAAAGAAGTAGATGCCCCTAATCTGCCCTTGAATTTTTAAAATCTTCTTAGATAAGGTTCAGTCCTAGCAGGGCCAGAATTCCCAACAAATTCAAGGCTTTTTGTCCTAACTTATCATTCGAGTTATAAACAGAATCACATTGATATTGGCTATTAACTCTGTCACCTGTGGTTAGTGAACACCTCCTCCCACCACCAGGAAATATATATAGCTCAGCATGTGTGCACACAATGCACTTTCAGAGAGATGCATGCTTTCCAGCAGTTTTTCTTCTCCCTCTTTCTGTCTCTCTCTGTTTCTTATACTGGTATTGATTGCTTTGGTTGGGGGCGGGGAGGCGGCCACAGGAGGGTTTTAGCAGATCCAGTAACTCTCTCTTCATCGATTCCTTGTTGTAGACTATTGGGGAGAGTCTAATTACAGTGACCTCATCGACTTGCATCTGGGTGGTATGTATATCACCATCTGTTGCTGACACTAACGCTGCTGACACCCTTCCCTCACTTGTTCTCATTAGTTCCTGCTCACAAATGAAAGAAGAAATCAACCTGTTAACCAAATGGCAAACACAGGCTCTTTCCTATCTCACAATGGAGCAGCATACTGGGTCCTCTCCACTGCCATATATACTCCAAAGATGTAGCTTTTGCTGTTCAGGATTATCTTAATTTTATATAATAAAAGTTCACTTACCCCAACCCATCAAACTCACATCTGCATTCTGGTCCTTCTAATAACATTTTGGTTGTTTGACAGCCCCCCCCCCCCCAGCCCCACACACACACACACATACAGACTCCAACATGACCTCTGCCTTGGATCTCATCCC